CTCTATGAGACATCGTAGAGTCCTGGCCTTTGGCTGCTGAATGCTTGTCGTGCCTCTTAGTCTTTGGAGCCATGAAAAATGCTACATGAAAATTGCAGTTGACTCTGACCATTGGCAGTTCCTCTAGTGACACTCACTGTTACCCTAACAAGTACTCTACTAATCTAGGAAACTAGTCTCTTGGCTGGTTCCCTGCAGAGGGAGTATCCCGAGATCCTTGGTGAAAATTGTTCCTTTGGAGGACCGTGTTCTCACTTTTAAACTGTACTTGGGGCGTGGTCAGACATTAGTCCCTGTGCTGATATTTTGTTTATGATCTAACAAATAAAGCTTGCCTGAAGAAGTTCTCACCTCCACCAATGCTCAGATCGAAAGGGCAATCCTGTCCTCAGACTGTGTCTCCAGACAGCATCTGTCTCCATCAACCCTCAGACCACACTGCTCCTCAGACTGCCTCAGACTTCGTCTGTCTCCTCCCTGCTTATATTCCTCTCTAGTGCTGGGACTAAAGGTGTGGGACACCAAGTGCAGGGATTACTATTGCATGAGCTCTGTTTCTCTTTTAGACTGGATCAATTTCATGTAGCTTAGCGTGGCCTTGAGCTAACAGACATTCATCTGTTTCTGTCTCCTGAGTGCTGGGATTAAAACCTCTATGGCTAACCAGTGTTGCTAGCTTTGCTCTCTGACCTTCAGGCAAGCTTTATTTGTTAGATCATAAACGAAATATCACCCCAAGTACCCTCTTATAAAAATTAAAATGTAGTCAGGGCTTGCTTTATAAAAGTCTTGGGTGTGGGAAGGGTGGCTGAAAGGAGGGAGGTTGGTCATAAATTGATTATTGTTAAAATGTGGTAATAAATCCAAGGTAGTTTTTGTTTTGTCTTGTTTGCAATGTCTCTAAATTTTTCCCTGTGTTTGGAATTTACAAAAAACATTTTTGAGATGTGCCATTCCAGGTTAGATTCCTGTGCCTGCTGGTTGGGGTGATGGTGGAGACATATTAAAGTAGATATTGATGCTTAAAAATGCAGAAATGCCAGGAAGGCCTCCAGATGCTTTTCTATGCCACAATTATTTCAAGACAGTGCATTGGGGCTTACATAGGCAGCCCGTTGGGGACACCAGGCTCTCTCTCCCAATACTTGCTAGCTCTTTAGACGACACCAAGGTAGCATCTTCATCTCCTATAAGATCACATCACCCCTCACAAGGAAGTCCTGGCAATTATTGCACCACCAAGCTCCCCATAATTTATTTTAAAAAGAAACAGAATCGAAGCTGAAGTCAGTCTCTAAAGGAGAACAGAGGCAAAGGACTGGAGATGTGTGATTCGTGGCAGCCTGGCTGTTTGTCTCAATTCCCTGTGCACGCCCCAGGGCAGCTGTCACTGCAGCGGGGGCGGGAAGTGGATTATTGGAGCCTTTGCTGCTGCGAAGATGGATGGCTTCTAAGTGGGACCTCTTCTGCTCGCAGTGACCAGGCGCGATATTGAGCAAAATAATGGTCAGAACGAACATCGCCAGGCCCCTAATGAGAAGCTGTTGACAGAAAAATTGCTCTAACATTCATCAAAAAGCCAATAAATGCCAACGAAGGGAGTAGAAATGCAGTAGCTCATAAATTCCTTCTCAGGGGGACTCTGGAAGTGATCTGGGGGGCAGCACACCACTCTACCGTCTCAGCACCACCGAGGATACTGCCACAAAGCCTGTAACACCAACGGGCAGCTTACCTGTGTAGTTTTCACTTATTTATTTTGGGGAGATTATCAACAAGGAGGCCACTCCAGCCTTTGGTCAGGGGATTCTGTGTTGGTTCTCTAGCTCAGTCACGTGGCAGTCTATGTGGTGGCCCTGTTTGAAAGGTTCATAGGAATGAAGTCCTTTGTTCACTAACTAGCCGAATGGATTCTTCTGTATTCCTGTCACCCCCATTGCAGACACTACTCACTTTAGTTAATCCTATTGCTTCTTGACAGTGTGCCTTCTGTGGTGAAATCTTTTTTTTTTTTTCCTAAGACAGAGAAGGATATTTACTGACAGTCAAGTGTGACTTAGCTTCTTGACTCACTTGATTTCTGGTGACCACACTGAATGAGGGACTTGTGTGGGGGAGAGTTCTTTGGAAAGTGATTACAGGCAACAAGTACGAGAGCTTGGTTGGGCTTAGAGAAGGCCTGCAGGGATGGGCCAGGCAGGATCACAGTAGCAGGTCTCCTAACTAGCTCAGGGGTGGATGGCTTGAAAGCATCTGGACAGTGACTGCTGGCAGATTTCCCTTGTGGGTATCACTTTTCAAAGTGAGATGGTCCATATGCTCTGTGTCTAAATACTTGGCCCCCATCTGGTGGCCCTGTCTGGGAAGGTCAAGGTGGAGCCTCACAGGAGGAAGAGGTCACTGGAGGTAAGCCTTGAGTTTTTCTAGTCAGTCCCACTTCCTGTGACTGACTACCTCAGGGTCCTGCCATCATGCCTTCCCTGCTATGGTGGAGTATAGCCCCTAGAACTGTAAGACAAAATCAGTCCTTCCTTCCTTAAGTTTCTTTTTGGGTATTTTGTCACAGCAACAAGAAAAGTAACTAATACAGGGCTGTAGGGCAGACCTGTAGCTAGCCCCTAAGCAGGCGTGGCTACAGGTTCCCCTACACAGGGCTGATAAAAACATTCAAAAATTGATTGTATTACATTACAAAGCTGTCCCTACCCACAGGACGGCAACCTGGGGCAAGAGAGTCCGGGATAGGGAATGGGGACAAGAGATGCAGAAAGAACGATTACCAGACAGGATTCTGTTCAAGTGGCAAACTTTATTTTTCTCAGGCTAGCTTATATTGTCAGTAGATCAAGATATGAGAAGGGGTAGAATGGGTTGTTTGTGCACCAGGTGTTAGTGTAGGCAGGATATTAGGAGGTCACAAAGAGGATGTTTGGCAGGGTAAAGAGTTTATGAGTAAGAGGTCCAGGAAGGGTTGCCTAGGTGACTGAGCCTGTGGGTGGAGGACTGGGTCAAGTTGTTTCTTTTCCTGAGCTGAGATTCTAAGGAGCTGCTATGTAAAGGTTAATATACAACTATGTGGCTGGCCAAGAATGGCCTAGGATCTCATGCCAAGCCCTGCGATTTGGTTCCCAACACAAAGCTATGGATAGTAATAATTGAATTGCTTATTTATTTATTTATTTATTTATTTATTTATTTCTGAGACAGGGTTTCTCTGTATAACAGCCCTGGCTGTCCTGGAACTTACTTTATAGACCAGGCTGGCCCTGAACTCACAGAGATGTGCCTGCCTCTGCCTCCCAAATGCTGGGATTAAAGGTGTCCACCACCACCGCCCAGTGTTGAATTGTATATCTTAAGTGGGTTCATTTCACGGCATGAGAATCATATCTTTCTAGTGCTATTTGTGCATGTGTGTGTTGTGCGTGTGTGTGTGATGTATGTGTAGCATATGTATGTGTATGTGCATGTGTGCATATGTAGGCTAGAGGTTGACATTGGGTGTCTTTCTTAATAGTGTCTACCTTATTTCTTTCTGAAACTTCATCTCTATAGATCTAGGAATCTGCCTGTACCCATGCCATCTACCCCCAACATCCCTCCATGGGCTGGAGCACAGATCCTTGTCACCCTGGCCAGTTTACATGGGTGCGTGGGTCATAGTCTCAGGTCTTCATGTTTATGAATCAGGTACTTTAACTGACCAAGCTTCTTCCCAGCTCCCTAATGCAATAAATATTATTTTCAAAGGACCAGTAATTCTATCATCCCAAGGAGTCTTATCAACTTAAAAAAATATAATAAAAGTGAAGCCTCTTCCCTTAGACACCCCTATTCTCTTCTAAAAAATGAATGCTGGCAGAAAACAGTGAATTACATGTAATTCTGTATTTTATAAATGTGCACCATTTTTTTCATTCATAAAACAAAGCCTGCCTCTGTCTTCACAAGGGATTGTAACATCACTTGCTTTTAAAGGTTTTGTAGATGTCATTTTTAGATGAAGCAGGCCCATGTGTCCTCTATCACAGTGACACACTGTTCTGTCTACAACACTGGTCTGTTTGTGTGTTTTTTTTAATTCTTGTTCTAACCAAATTTACAATTTATTTCCCCAGATAAGGAAAGGAACTAAATCATTTAGGTTGTCAAATAAATAACTTTATACTTGCCTCCCCTGATTTTGAGGTAATGGGGATTGAGGCAATGGTCTTGTGCATGCTAGGCCCTCATACTGAGCTATAGTGTCAGCCTTTTGGTTTGTTTTTTTTTCTTTTCTTTTTGATATTATAATATAATTACATCATTTCCCCTTTCCATTCCAACCTTCCAAACCCTTCCATATGTGTGTGTGTGTGTGTGTGTGTGTGTGTGTGTGTGTGTGTGTATGTATATATCTCATTGTGTTCTTTAAAATCCATGGCCTCTTTTTTTATTGATTATTACTGCATTATATAAGTCATGTATATACATATTTATTTCTAAATGTAACCTGCTCCAGTCTGTAAGTGTCACTTGTATTTTTGTTTTTAGTGCTGGCCATTTTGTATTGGATAACCAATCCATGTGTACTCTATTTATTATGTATACAACATTCTGCTTCCATGTATATCTGCACACCAGTAGAGGGCACCAGATCTCATAACGGATGGTTGTGAGCCACCATGTAGTTGCTGGGAATTGAACTCAGGACCTCTGGAAGAGCAGTCAGTGCTCTTAACCTCTGAGCCATCTCTCCAGCCCACCCCATCTGTTTTCAACCATGGGTTTTTTTGAGGCAAGGTCTCCTTGTGTAGCCCAGGCTGGGTTTGAGCCTGTTCCTTAGTCCATATTGGTTTTGAACTTATAACCCTTGTGCCTCTGCTTCCCAGGTGCCAGGATTACAGATGTGTGGTATCATACCTGGATTATACTTCCTTTTAATTTATAAATTATGAAGCTATAAACCTTTGTCTGCTGTGTTGAGGGAAAGCATCCACCTTCTCAAAACCTGGAATTCTTTGTATGATGCTGATCAAATGTCTGACAGGGAAAAACCATATAGACAAATTTAACACTGGAAGACCCTGTGACAAACAACTCTGAGAATACTGAAAGATGCTTAATATATTAAGAGGAGCATTTTGAAAATTCTACTATCAGTTGTCTGTTTGGTTTAAATGGCTTGCTAGTGTCCCGATGGTGGCAATCTCTTAGACAAAGGTGTTGAATCAGCTTGACAGATGCATGTGTAAGTTTCACACCAAGGTAGACCCCTCATCCTAAAAGCTCACCTGCTCTATGGAGCCATGCTCATGGAGCTTGCTGTTTAGAAGGCAGCTGGATGGAAATCCAGAGAATGAAGATTAACACATAAGATCGACGTTGTACCAAATCATAAATTTAAAATGATTTTCTATAAACCATCAAAAAGGTTGGAATTTCCCTATTTTGATCCTACTTCTCAGTTAGAAATCATACATGGTTCCCCCACTGCTTAGCAGGAATAGTTTAAACCCCATGGCTTTTAGCCCTGGGAATCTGACTCTGCCTTAATCCACATGCCCCCATGGCCTCCTTAGGAAACATCACATACCTAACCCTTTCATGCCTTCTTCTCCATCCATATCTCCCTGGTCCACAATTACTCATTCAGAGAGCCTTCATGAAGCTTCTGGCTCTCTAGCTGGGAGGAAAGCTTCTTCCTGTGGACTTGGTACCAGGTACCTCTGTATCTGAGGGCATCTGCCTTGGGCCTCTTAGTTATTTAGGGTTTTGTTGTCTCCTCAAGGAGCACATGGTGAGCATACTTTAGGGTATGTGTACAGATGACTTGATTCATTACAAATTTACCAAGAATGTACCAAGAAGATACTGAGAGGGTAACACGATCACACCCAGGTTCTCACCTCACTCTGCTACGTTTTCTAGGGCAGCTTTTACCTCCCAGTTGTCCTCAGTGAAAGATGGCCAGTGCAAGATGTTCATAGCCAAAACTTAAGAGAAAGCACATTACTTCTATGGAGGACAGACCTATGATCCCAAGTTCCTGTAATCATCCCTTGTACAACGTCTTCCCCATAACCTGCCAACTGAAAGAATATGGCAAAGGTGATGGGATATACCTGATGTCATGTGTGTGCTCATGTTGCACAAAACTGTAGCATCCATCTTGCTGGGAAACTTTCTTTTGCTTGTTAGCTTCAATGAAGCAAGTTCTGTGCTGCAAACCACCATCTACAGAGAGCCACACATGGTCAACAGCCAACAAGAAACAGACCCTCAGTTTGGTAGTCATCTTTAAGGAACTAAATGTCATCCACAATCACAGGAGATTAGAAGTGATACCTTCCCTTGTCAAATGAGACTATAGCCGTGGCTGATCTCTCTCCCCTCTCTCAGCGTGCGTGTGTGTGTGTGTGTGTGTGTGTGTGCGCGCGCGTGCGCGCGCGTGCGTGTACACATATGTGGAATATGGATGCATGTGTGGACAATCTGCCTGTGGAGGTCAGAGGACAACTTCTGAGTTGGTCTTGGGCACCTCCCACCTTTTTGTTTAAAATTGGATCTCTCACTGGCCTGGACCTTTGTTAGCTGGCCCCCAAGCTTCCAGGATCTCTTCCATTGTCCCCTGTCATCTAGTCAATGCCAGGACTGAGGATGTGTAACACTTTGCCGGAGATTTACTTTTCTTATGTAGATTTGGGGGGTATCCGAACTCAGGTCCCCACACTTCTTTTTTTGTTTCTTATTTTTTGAGACAGAGTCTCTCTTATGTCTTCCTGACAGTTCTGGGACTCACTTTGTAGACCAGGCTGGTCTTGAACTCACAGAGATACTCCTGCCTCTGCCTCCTAAGTGCTAGGATTTAAGTTGCACACTATCACAAATGGTGGTCCTCATACTTGTATAACTTGTGCTTTGCCAAATGAGCTATCTCCCTAGTCTTCCCAGCTAACACAGATATCTTTGTGAGACAATGATGCAGAGAACAACTGAGGTCATTCAGGTTCAAGGTTTACATAAATGCAAGAAGAGATCTTAGCTGTCTTGACCCTTTTGACCCTTTCCCACCAACCACCATTTTCTCTTTCTTTCTTCCTTTCCTTCTTTCTTCTCTCTATTTTATTTTTTTACAATGTTAAATAATAATTTTATTATGAGTAGATATTCCTAAGGATGTTAAAGACTGAAAGAATTATGCATTGATAACTACTTGATGAAAATAATTAAAGATAATATACCCAGGTGTGGTAGTGCGTTCCTGCAGTCCCAGCACTTGGGAGGCTTAGGTAAGAAGATCAGGCTTGGCATTCTGTTTTCTTTTTTCCTCAAGAGAAAACTAAGCAAGTTTGCCACTACGTGCAATGTGCACACCATGCAGGAGAAACTCCAACAGAAGATAATTCCAAACAGTGGTTTAGATCTCTGGTTATACAAGATCTTCAAAAGTAACAACAGCAACAACAATTCCAGTAGGATTTTATATACCTGACAAATAGGAAGCAAGTTTTGCTTGTATCTTCTATAGATGCAGAATTATGGAGAGTGAATTTATGAGAATAAACTAAAGAAGCATGTCTTCTCAATTCCCCCAGTGCCATGTCTGAACTCTTAAGAGATCTCTTTAGTGATTAATATCCACCCTTCTTTGTATGGGGCTAGAGTGTCTCTCTCTCTTTTTTTTTTTTTGAGACAGAAATTCTCTTCCTGGAACTTGCTCTGTAAACCAGGCTGGCCTTGAGCTCACAGAAATCCTCCTGCCTCTGCCACTGGGATTAAGGGTGTACACCACCACTGCCTGGCTACCACCCATTTTCTTTTTTTATTTAAATTAGAAACAGGCTTGTTTTACATATCAATCAGTTCCCTCTCCCTCCCCTCCTCCTTTGTCCCCCACTAACCCCCCCTTTCTGCTTCCCAGGAAAGGTGAGGCCTTCCATGGGGGAATCTTCAAAGTCTGTTATATCATTTGGAGCAGGGCCTAGACCCTCCCCCATGTGTCTAGGCTGAGAGAGTATCCCTCTATGTGGAGTGGGCTCCCAAAGTCCATTCGTATACTAGGGATAAATAATGATCCACTACCAGAGGCCCCATAGATTGCCCAGGCCTCCTCACTGACACCTATGTTCAGGGGGTCTGAATCAGTCCTATGCTGGTTTCCCAGCTATTAGTCTGGGGTCCATGAGCTTCCCCTTGTTCAGGTTTCTCTGGGTTTCACCAGCCTGGTCTTGACCCCTTTGCTCATCACTCCTCCCTCTCTGTAACTGGATTCCAGGAGTTCAGTTTAGTGTTTAGCTGTGGGTGTCTGCATCTGCTTCCATCAGCTACTGGATAAAGGCTCTAGGATGGCATATAAGGGAGTCATCAAATCTCTCTGAAGACTGTTATAATATCATTAGAAGCTGAGTGTTTGGAGGCTAAAATACACATTTCTCCTGCTTTACCAAAACAAGCCCAAACTCCCTAAGTCTGATTTTATACAAGTGGGGTGGTGCCACTTGCACATGTCAACTTCAATTTAAAGAGAAATACCAACTGACTTCACTGACTTGAAAAGGAAAACAGCCATTTAATTCATGTTTCACTCTCTCAAACTGATTCGGAACTGAACACTGCAGGAAATCCATCTGCATTGCCTTGTGGACTAAAGGAAACTATGCACTGGAAACATTTAACACATAGCAAATGACTCTGAAGGTCTGTTCTGCGCTAGGCATTGTCACGAATAACAATTCACTGTGCTGCCAGAATGGCCTACATGCCATCCAAGAAACACAGTACACACAGCCCAGATAGTCTGTCAGCTTTTCATGAACTGGCATCTGGGACATGAAAGAAATCATTTCCCTGTATGTGTGATGGCTAATCTTGGTTGACATTTCTGGGAAGAGGGAACCTCATTTGAGGAGTTGTCTCCATCAGATTGGCCTATGGGCATATCTTTGGGAAAGTTTCAAAAAAATAAACTTTGAGGACTGAGGAGATGGCTGGGTTGGCAAAGTTCTTCCTGTGTAAGAATAATGACCTGAGTTTGAATCTCAGAACCCAGGTAAAAAGCCAGGCATGGTGGAACATGTTTGCAATCCTAGTGTTTAGACTAGGAAGGCTGAGGCAAGCCAAAGGGCTAGCTTGCTGGCTAGCCACTCTCTTCAATTGGCACACCCTAGGTCTGTCCTCAAAACACAAGGTGGACAGCTCCTAACAAACAACACCCAAGGTTGACCTCTAGTTCCATGCACATGTACACATGTGCACACACACATACACACCACATATATATACACATAAAAAGGAAAAAAATAAACTTTAAGCCTCAAACGATGAAAGAAAAATCTTCGCAAGATGAAAATTTGATATTTTCTTAAATGTTGACAAAAAACATGTCAACTTCAATAGTAGAGTTTAACACATTATACTTGTTTGCCAGGAAATCATGACCTTTAATTAAGACATAGTAGAATATCAAATTGTTCAATGCTTTCTCCTAAATAAGAGAAATGAAGTATGGCAGTGGGTATATTCTGATGTTTAATGGACTGGTCATCCAAAGGCAGCAACACCGGGCCCTGTATGAGGATTTTAAGAGGATCCTGGGCTCCTTTAGGTTTCTCTTCATTCCTTCTAGACCAATTGCAATTGCCCATGATTTCATCATGCATAACACATTGCTTCAACATTATATTTGCTTGTTTATTTACTTACTTATTTGTGTATGTGAGTGAGAACATGAACACACACACACACACACACACACACACACACACACACACACTATGAAGTGTGTGTGGAGGTAAGAGGACAACTTGGGGAGTCTGCTCTCTCTTTCTACCATGTGTGTCCTGGGGGTCAAGCTCAGGTTGCTGGGTTAGGGTTATACTGCTGTAAAGAGGCACCATGAGCACAGCCACTCTTGTAAAGGAAAACACAATTGCAGCTTGAGTGCAGTTCAGAGGCTTAGTCCATTATTGTCCGACGGGGATGTCCTGCCTGTGTGCTATGAATATATGCTTCTCTTATTGGTTTAATAAAACACTGATTGGCCAGTAGCCATGCCAGAGGTATAGGTGGGGCTACCAAACAAGGAGAATGCTGGGAAGAAAAAGGCAGAGAGAGAGAGCCACCAGGGAGTTGCCATGTAGCTACCGGAAAGATAGGACACAGGGCATTCTCCAGTAAGCCAAGACCCCATGGAAATACATAAATGAATAGAAATGGGTTAGTAATTAAGAGAGAGTGAGCCAATAAGAAGCCTGAGCCATTGGGCAAGCAGTTTACAATTGATATAATCCTCTGTGTGTTTATTTGGGCCTAAATGGCTGTGGGACCAGGTGGGAAAGAAACTCCGTCAACAATTGTCTTGGTGGGAAGCATGGTGGCATGCAGGCAGACATGGTGCTGGAGAGGTAGCTGAGATTCCTACATCTTGATCCACAGGCAGCAGGATGTAACTGTGATACACTGACCAGACTTGAGTTTCTTACCCACCCCAACAAAGCCACATCTACTCTAGCAAGGCCACACCTAATAGTGCCACTTCCTGTGGGCCCATGGAAGCCATTTTTATTCAAATCACAACAGGGGGCAAGTGCCCTATTTGCTAAGACATCTTGCTGGAACCTGCTGGAAGGACTTGACTTATTGCTTATACCACCAGTGCAGATAGTCACAAAGTTAGTGTGTGGCAGAATCATCTGGAAATCCTGTAAGGAATGTTTTTAGAGCAAAAGAAACCAGAATGTTCTCCTCGGTTGGTCTGGTGTGAAGCTGAGGCTTCTGCTTGTTGACGGTCTAAGCTTTAGGTGTCGGTGACCTGTGGGCCACACTGACCACACCATTCTTAGTGAAATGGGGTTTCAGAAGAATAAGCAAGAAGGAAATGGGCCAAATACTAGAAAGGTTTCTGGGAACACAAAGACAGAATTAAGAGGAATGATTAAGTCCAATGGGTTTTTGCTTTATATGGGGTCCACTTTGCCTTTGACATCTTCAGAGATTGTGGTGTGACCTAAACTCCCATGTCTGTGAATGGATGTCTGGTTCTTCAATGGAATGATGTGTTTCTTGTATTCGTCACTGCTCAGAGTCCAGTTCCTGTCTTCTGCAATGGCAGAGAAGAAGTTCATTGGTGTTGTAGAATCCAGGATGTAGAAACTGGATGGACAAATGAGGGTATTTATTGGTGGAGCAGTCATGATTTCTTCCTTCTCCATTTTAGCCCTCCCTCCTCAGACAGGGCCTTGCTGTGTAGCCCAACCTAGTTTGGAATTCTCAGTCTTCTTGCCTTACTCTCCTACATGCAGGATTTGCACACATATGCAGGCATGCCCAGCAGGGCTGGCACCTTTAGGAAGGGAAACAGTGCTGATGGAGGCTGCCTCCCCTAACATGCCCACACAACCAGGACAGGCATTCAACCAGGGTTCTTGGTTGCCAAATGGATACTTCTCTGCAGATCTCCTTTGGAAAGCAGTGTTCCCTTTGCTCTGCTACTTAATCCAGCCTCCTATGAGCACATCACAGCAGTTAGGAACATAGCCCTTGTAGTCATGCGGGTTCAAATCACACCAGCTCTTCTGAGGGCAATGCCTTGACTTCTATGGGCCTCATTCACAGCATGAAGGAGAAGAATGAATTCTAGGGCTGCTTGAGATGGCTTTGGGCTCTCCTGAAGTCTCTGATGTTCTGTAATTTTCCTGTTTCTACTTTTTCAGGGGCCAAGCCAGCCTTTGAACAATGCCTTACTTGGGGCTAACAGAAATCAATGCCCATTCTAATGACTTGATCTGCACTGACTGCTAGGGTGTGGCCTGCTGGGCTCAGCTCAGCTCCCCAGAGGTAAATGGTGCTGAAGAAAAGATGAATATAATAGGCTTTTCAAACAGTCACCATGTGTGGTTATCAGGAAGTTTTCATTCAACATCCTAGTAAAAGGGAACAGATACAAATAAAGCTGAGAATGATGTTAGCCTTGGGAAGATTACCTGACGCTGAGGGTGTGCGCCACATTTCTTCCTGGATTGTTTTCTGCCCCAGTGACTACTGATATTTATAGCTAGTCGTCAATTGCACATCAGCTCATAGTCTGGGGAGCCAGCCTAGAGGCCTGAGGAGTCTGTGATTTGATGGAGCAGTGTTTGCTCATATGGAACCGGCATTTCGTTTTCATTTGTCAAATGTGTGAGAAGGCTTTGTTAGCCTCACCAAAGTCTGCATAGTGTCTGCCACCCTCTCTTTCTCATCAGTGAGATACAGCACCCACCAGGCAGTAATTTTCTCAGTGGGGGCACCAAAGAGGAACAGGCAGTGGGTGGTCCATTTCTTTTGGACTAACCACCATAGTCAGTCCTTAGATTAGAAATGTGAGCCTACTGTCCGTTGACAGTTAACAGACCCAGTGTCTCTTGTGAGCTGGCAAAGTCCCTCAAAGTCCCCATTGTTCAAAGACATAGGAGTATGTCGTCTTCCACTCTCTTGCATGGAGACAGTGTTGCAGAGCAGGGCAGCCATTTGTCCTTGATCTCAGGCCAGGCTCAGACCATCCCTGGGGACAGTGAGAGAGGAACATAGCATGTATCCCACCCAATCAGAGTAACTTCCTGAAGAAACAGTTCCAAACTGTGCTCAGCCTCTGGGAACCAATTCAGACTAGCATCAGGCAACTGAGCTCCCTAAGAGAGCAAGTGTGTGGCTTGGGAACTAAACATTTTCCTTTCTGGATTTTGGTCTAATGATCTGGAACATTTCCCATGCGACAGTGCAGCCAGGGGACTGAAAACTATGGCTCTAGCAGGAGGACATGTTGGAATCCTCAAACTCCAGGTCCACCATTTGTCCTTGGACAAAGGTGACACCCTGGCCTCAAAGACTCACCTGAGATGGGGATCATCATGATCTACTCCCCAGGCCCTGTTGAGGGTCACATGAGAGCAGGCAGAGACACTTGGCACATTCTGGGTCTGCCAGAGATGGGCAGCTCAGCTGGTTTTCTGCCCATGGGGCACTTTTACAGCAAACTGCCATCTAAAACCTGGAGAAGGGAACAACTACACATCCCAAGAGAAGTCTGTAACAGCAATATCTGGGAATATCCATACCACAAGCCACTTTTACCCCAGCAACTAGAGTAGAAACCACAGGCTAGAACCATACAAGTTGGTTGGTCTCTGTGTCTGTCTCTCTGTGTCTCTTTCTCTCCCTCTCACTCCCTCTCTGGTGCTGGGGATAAAACCCCAGACCTAATGCATTCTAGACTAGCGAACACCAAGCTACTTCTTTCCTTTTGAATTTTTTTGTTTTGAGACAGTGTCTTGCTAAGTTATGCAGTCTGGTCTTCAATGTGTGATCTTCCTACCTCAGATTACTGAGTAGATGTGATTACAGGAATATGACATTGTGCTTTGTTCTATTCTACTCACAGGTGACAAAAATTGATGACAACAATAACAAATCAGGACTGGGCTCAGTGGCAGAGGACTTGCTTAGTGTGCACAAGGCTCTGAGTTCAATCCCTAGCAGTGGGAAGAAGGAAGGAGGGGAGGGAGGGAGAGGAGAGACAGATAGATAGGTATTGATTTATGATCAAGTTTACAGATAAGGAAATTTTGATCACTTCTTGTGCTGCATTAGACCAGAAACAGAAAAATATGACTAGGTCTAAACATTAGTTCAACTGGAGAACTCAGTGATTGGTGTCAGTCTGTGTTTTACCAGATGCGGAGTGTGGTTCAGAGCTGTGTGTGGAGGAAGTGACTCAATGGGCAGGACCTGCTCTGGGTCTTCTCGCTGTTCCGGTCTGCTTTTATCCATTGGTTTAATAGTGACTGGAGGGCAAGGACGTTCGTTAGAAGACACGTGGCCCTTGCTACATGCCCATCAGAGCGGACACACAAAGACAATGTTCACTCTTCTCTTTCTCAGCTTGCAGTGGGTTAGAAATGAATGACCCAGCTCTATAAATATTTTTTTAAGGATTTTATTTATTATGTATACAGTCTTCTGCCCGCATGCCAGCAGAGGGCACCAGATCTCATTCAAGGTGGTTTGTGAGCCACCATGTGATTGCTGGGAATTGAACTCAGGATCTCTGGAAGAACAGCCATCTCTCCTGCCCGCTCTATAAATATTTAATTTATTCATATCCCACAGGATTTTTCCAAAGCCACAGACATGATTATATCCTGATAGAATCAAGAAGATTTTCAGTGTGAAGATGATCTCATGAGGATTTGAAATGTTCAACTTGTCACGAGCAACCCGAGGGGACTCTGCCTTAAGGAAACTGCCGGAGTGGGGTGGTGTCCTTCCTTCATGCCTCTCTTGATTGTCACCTATGTGCAGGCAGCATCTCATTTCAGGTGCTGCAGGCTCTGTCAGGTACTGGGCTTTCTGTCACAGCCAGTGCTCATTAACCTGGCCACTGGCCTAGCACTTCATTCACCCCCTGTATTTGTTTCCCACAGAATTGTGGCTTTTAATCACATAGAGCACACACTGGCCAACCAATATCAGAGTTAGGAAGACCGGCTGATTTCTCTTACAATTGAGAGTGTGATTGGATTGAGAAGATGAGGACTTTATAGCATTGGTTGTTGGCTGAGCACCCCCTCATGCTGGCTCAGTGCGACCAGATGGGCTTTCTCTTCTGGATGAAGGCCTCGATTCCTTCCTGCCCATCCTGCAGGGCTAGGTTGTCCACCATGGCCTGCGAGGCAAGATAATATGCTGTTCTAAGGTCTTGGGGAAGCTGTTTGTAAAAGGTAGCCTTGCCCAATGCCACCACGGGGCGGCTCAAAGAAGCGATCTTCTTTGCTATTCTCACGGTCTCTTCCTCCAGCTGCTCCTCTGGCACCACTTTGCTGATGAGGCCGTGGCGTACGGCCTCCTGAGCAGAAATGGGCTCCCCAGTAAAAAGCATCTCCAGGGCCACCTGAGGGAAGAACAAGAGAGGTCATTAAATCACTCTTCACATCCCAGAGCTTCCTCAGGCCCCATCTCTGTTTCCCTGTACTGAGACAGTCACTCTCTGGACTTACCTGCAAACTCAGCCCAGATATCTGCTTCCACAAATGACATGTCATCTATCACCCCTTGATGTCAACACCCTAATTCTCTGCCAGGGAGAAGATCAGATTGTTCCAAGAGCCAAGAAAATACAAGTATCCTGGAATGGGTGGAGACTCCCTCTGGGTCCTCTTGCTGTTCCACAGATTTAATTAGTAGCCCTGGCAACCCAGGAGATCCCTTCTGTCCACCCCTTTAAAGGCCATGTGCATAAAGACAGCCTATCTGATGAGGACCACTGCGAATGCTGCTGGAACAAGCTCATAGCCTTTGGAAATCAGTACAAGGGCCACTTTCTACAAGAACACATCCATGGGTCCCATTTCCTCAGCAAGATCCATTCTGGGGACATGAAGGGACCTAAGTAACTTCAAGGACCAGATACAGAGCCTGGCATGGCTGGCTTCTAGGTTTCACAGCTCCTGTACAGGTCAATAAAGTAGAATTGTCACACATATGAGAGGACTGTGTGCTGCAGCATTCTGGGGTTCTCTGCTTATCTTTTGGGTGGGCCCCATGTCTATCCAGACTGCTGGAATAAAATGCCATAAACTGTGTAGCTAGCTTAGAAGGAACAGGTACATCTCACACTCTGGAGGCTGGAATGCCTAAGTTCCAGGCATCCTCAGAATTGGTGTCCAGTGAAAACCCATTTCTAGGTTCAGAGACTGAAATATCACTAATCTTACAAAGAAGAAAACTGGGGAGTCAGAAACCGGCAGTCCTTTTCTATGGGCACTCATTCCAGCACAAGGCTCTATCCTTGACCTAATGGTTGCTTCCCCAGAGCCTACCTCTAATGTTCATGATTACATTTCACCATAGGAACTTGGGGGTGGGGGGCAACACATTCAGGCTATGACGATGGTCTCTGTCTCCCAGAGACTATGGACTGCAGGCTGAGGTGCAGTGAGGAAGAGAGAGGGGGTGGTGGAAGGTAAAATATGCCACAAAGTCCACCAGGTGTGCACAGCTGACACACTAGATCATTGGCCTCATCTCACTGGGAACCTGAGAAAAGTCACTATGATTCCTAGGTGCTTTGAAATTGTACTTCCTAAATTATGTTGGGCATATGAATCACTACTAACCAGGATGTGTCAGGTGGAGTTTCTGGGGGTTCTGTTCTGAGTGAGGGTGAACTCTCTTTCCAGCTTCGAAATCCCACTCAAGGTTAGACTGGCAGGAAACAAGTGTGCGGACACACAGGCAAGTGGGTAGGTAAATGAAAGCAGGGATGTCTACTGTGGCGAAGCGACTGGTGTTGGAAAGGGACTCATATTTTCTCCAGCTTTCCTGGGATACCCTCTGCCTGAGGCACTGGCTCTAGTGTGTGTGGCCAGCTCTAGGTGGGGAAGGGAGCAGCTGGAACAGGCAGGGCATTTATATGGCACAATGAAAATGCATTATTTAATTCATGCAAAAGAGGGAGACTTTAAAAATAAGGTGAATAATTCATGTCCTGGCATAGCAGGCTCAACTGTATGACTTTTGCCCAGCAGACAAACTGCAGTCTTTGTTTTTCAATACAGTGGAGCAGTTTCCTAGAGTGTCCAGCAGAGGGAACTAGAGTCCAACACATGCTGTCCTAACCTAAGTGGAAAGGGCAGAGACTTCCTGCCCAGGACAGTTTGCAAAAGCACCTGTTTGCTTGTTTCTCTGGATAAACACAGCGACAGTCACCTATCACCAGCACATGGATGGGTGTGTGTTCAGTCTTCTTCTGGGGTCAGAACATGAAGAGAGACCAGAGATCCGAGTAGACATGATTCTGCATGCACATTTGTTAGACATGATTCTGCATGCACATTTCGTGTGCGTGTGCGTGTGCGTGTGCGTGTGCGTGTGCGTGTGCGCGCGCGCGCGCGCGCGCTTTTGCATGGGTTCAGAGGTCAGACGTCAACCTTGGGTATTGCTTTTCAGAAGTTGTTCACTTTGTTTTTTGAGACAGAGCCCTCCAGGGGGACAAGATGCTGGTTGCTTCTGGCTCCCTAGGGCTCCTCCTGTTTCTGCCTCCCCAGCTCTGGGATTCCAAGTCTGTACCACCAGACCTGGCTTTGATCCGTGGGTTCTAGGATCTAACTCAGGTCCTCAAGCCTGAGCAGTGGACACTTTGCTAACTGAGCCTTCTCCGAAGTCCCAGGCCAGGGTGTCCTGACAAAAATATCTTTGTGATGAAAAAGCAATCCTGGTTCTCACAATGTCCCTGCCCCCTCATCTGTCACACTGGACATTGTGCAATATTGTTCCGAGAATTCAGCCTCCATGGAACTTAGAGGATATTTTGGCTACATTTCCCCTCTCTGTTAAAAAACAAATGTAAAGTTTGATAAAAATGATACAGTATGACGTTTCTAGGAATTTTGATTTAGAAGGCTTTCCTGACAACAGGACTGATTTAAAGGTTTTAAACGCCTTGGCCATGGAACCTTCCAGAAAATCGCATGTTGGAAGGGAATAAACCAGTATAGCAACTTTTTGCTATGAAAGGCTTCATGGTTTAAGTTGCAGTTACAAGACAGTCTGTGAGTCTGACCAGAGACTTGTAATACATTCTGAGTTAATGTCTGGGAACAAAGCAATGACCTAAGAAATAGTCACTAAATAAATATGGACACACATTAAGGCAAATGTCTATCTTAGAATATTCAAAAACTTCCCCCTTTTGGAAGACATTTGAGCATGCCTCTTGCAGCATGTAGTGTTGTCAGCACACTGCCGTGTAGGTAACCACAGAATCTCCCTACAAGCACATGTTTCTTAAAAAAATTAACAGGTTCTATGGAAGGAAAAATCCTCCCTGGAACATCTTAGTGCTACTGCTAGATTCCCTTTGGGTCTCATTTCTTTTGTGCCTCAGGCATGCGAGACACTGTTAATTTTTGTAGTTGTTTCAAAACAGATAATCCATTCTAGGAAGCAGTTCACTTCTTTGCTTGCTGCATATATGATTTTGCCCCTCCTTTTCCAGATTTCCCACTGAGAACAGAATGACTTTTTCCTAGAACAGACTCTGTTGTTTTCCACTTCAGGGATGCTCACTAAATGCTATTCTGTGAGGTTTGGGAAGGAAGAAAGCTTTACAAGGGAAATGGACTTGACAGTCATTTGTAATGACAAGACAGCTCTGACATACAGCTGCTCCTTGGGCGGATTCACATAGCATGGGCAGGACAGTCCTTGTCTAACCACTGTGAACTCAATGCTGTAAATCAGCACCTTTAAATCCTTTCTGGACTAAGAAAGATTGTCAAGAAGTAAGAAGTCATTAGCCAGAGATACAGTCTCAGCCCCTTGACACTGGTGCTGTGCCAGCATGTTGTTTATTGTCTTATGGGCAGCCATTTAGTGTAACAAAACTGCTTCAATTGCATTTCAAATAAGATTACACAAAGGCTATGTTTTCCTGAAAATGAAAAACCTAAATAGTCATACTGAGGACATGAAAAATTGAAATGTGGCAAGTTCACAGAGTGATGCCTGGTGTTTGATGCTACAGAGGAACAGGCAGTGAGCTCTTCCTTCCCCAGCACAGAAGGAATACTAGAGGCCTTCGGGCAGAATGTCCAATATAGAAGATAGAAGATTCTCTCTCTCTCTCTCTCTCTCTCTCTCTCTCTCTCTCTCTCTCTCTGTGTGTGGTTGTGTGCGTGTGT